TTACAACTCAGTAGTAAAAAGAATACCCAGTTTTTAAATTGGCAAAGGATCAGAATGGACATTTCTCCCAAGAAAATATACAAATAGCCAAAAAACACACAAGAAGACGTTCTGTATCATTATTCAACAGGGAAATGCAAATCAAAACCACAGTGAGATACCACACTTCACACTCAGGAGGATGGCTAGAATCAAAAAGTCAGATAACAAGTGCTGGTGAGGATATGGAGAAATCTGAACCCCGGCACACTGCTGGCAGAAAGGCAAAATGGTGCAGCCACATTGGACGTTCACGTATGGTTAGACATAGTTACCAAGGACCCGGCGATCTCACCCCTACTTATTTTACCCAGGAGAAATAAAAACGCGTCTGCACAAAAATTTGTGCATTACAGCACAAATTACGGCATTATTTGTAAAAGCCAAGAAGCTTTTACATTATTTGTAAAAGCATTACAGCACAAATTACAGCATTATTTGTAAAACCCAAGAAAAGGGAAGCAACCTGGATGTGCATAAACGGATGTACAAAACGCTGTGTATCCATAACAATGGAATATTATTCAGCCATAAAAAAGAACAAAATACTGATACCTGCTATAACATAGACGAACCTTGAAACATTATGCTAGGGGACAGACGTCAGTCACAAAAGTCACCACCGTATTATCCCACTTATAAGAAATGTCAGGAACAGGCAAATCTAGAGATAGTAAGCAAAATCAGCAGTTTCTCGAAAAGGGTATAATGGTTCTTTTTGAGGTGATGAAAATGTTCTAAAGTTGACTATACTGATGGTTGTACACATCCCGTGATATATTAAAACCACTGAATTGTATATTTTAAATTGATGAGTTGTATGAAATGTGAATTATATCTCAATAAAGCTATTAGAAAGGAGGGAAAAGGAGAGGAAGAAAGTTCTTTTTCCAATAACAGGAACAAAGAAGGAAAGTAGCAAAGATCAAGTTTACGGTGCAGGACAGGAAAGCGTAAAGGCAGTGAAGGGTCGAAGTGAAGGGTCATGGTCCCCAGCCTCCTGCAGGTGGAGGGGGAGAATAAGGACAGCAAAAGTCACTTGGGAGCTAAGAGCAGCCTCAAGGCAACAAAGGTGTAAGCAGGAGGAGGCAGGCAATCATAGCCTAAGAAAGCATTCTGAAAGTTTGAGCTCTGGGAAGCAGCAGCATTATGAGTAAGCAATCATAAACAGTGATTCAAATCTGATTAGGGTCTTGGATATAGATAACTGTCAAAGGTCATCATCACATGTGGCTGCAAGATTTTGACCATTAAAAAGAACTAGGACATTTGGGGCAAAGGAGCTATGACCGCAAGCCATAAAATCATAAAATATATGGCTAAGGTGGAAATAGACTTGTCCATCAAATCCCAAAATATCAACCGTGGAGGAACACTTAGGGACACCTGAAAGGACAAAAAAAAAAAAAAACCAGGTGCCATTTCAGAGCTGCACTGTACCTTTGGGACTCATTGTCCCCCAAAAGTGGTCTGAGCAGAAGATGACAGTAGATATTAAAAGCATCTTGACAAATACATAAGAAAGTGAAATCCTCTTTAATAACAACATCAGAGAATACATCAGGCCCTTCATCCAACTACTGGTTCAGAGCACTGGAACGCAGGAACCTTAGCCTGGGTGGACAGAGAGAGGGAGGGAGCACAAACACCCAGGATATGGTGGAGGAGGTTCTGAGAGCTCTCTACCATGCCCTGCAGGCTCAGGTGAGTCAGGGCTACACCATTTACGGTGAGCAAGGAATATATAGCCAGAGAATTCGGTTCCAATCTGACCAAGTGTTCCTAAACTGCAAAATAACTCAGCAATATGACAATATATTCATTGTTTTCAGATCTCCTACAATTGCTAATTTCTTCCAGTTGACAATTTTTTATTGCCAACTATGTATATACCTGATGTTTGGTGCCTGGGAGAGGGATACATAGAAGCATGAGACAAGGACCTCAAAGAATATTCCATATCACTGGAGAAGATATATGCAGGGAAGAACACAGAATTTTGTGGTAGCCTGTGATAGACAGCTTCAGCAATACCTCTCATCCCAAGTGCAATTTTGTAATAGGAGCTTGACACTCGTCCATCAAGAAGTGGAGTTTATTTCTCTTCCCCTATAGTCTGTTTTGACCAACAGAATGCAGCTGAAGTCACTCTGTGTGACTTGAAAGGCCAGACCTTAAGAGCTTCTGCTTTCCTGCTTGGAACACTCCCTCTTGAAAGCCAGCTGCCGTGAGGAAATCCAAGGTGGCCAGTGGAGAGAACAGCCATGTGGAAAACCACCAAGGCACCAGCCAGATGAGTGAAGCCTTCTAGAACCTTCTAGTCCAGCCCAGACATAGATGAATGCAGCTAAATGAATGATTCCGTCAATACCACATGCAACAGAAGAACAGGCCAGCCAAGCCCTGCCTTAATTCCTGACCCACAATTCATAAGCAAATTAAACCGTCATTGTTTCAAGCCACTGAGTCTTGAGGTAGTTTGTTATGCAGCAATAGATAAGTGAAACCAACTGGAAGGCAGGAAACCAGGAATTAGTCCTGGTTCTGTTATTATCTAGTTACATGACCTTGGGTCAATGACTTCCCCTCTGGACCTCAATTTCCTCATCTGTACAATGAGAAGGTTGTACTTGGATGAGTTACGGTGCTTTCCAGCTCTGACCGTTTGTACCATACATGCAGATATCGCTGGGCACACAGAGATATAGAGGGGAGCCACTACTCCAGGATCAGTGAGCCTTGGAGGAGGAGGTGAAAGAACCATGGACCAGGAGTCAAACACCCTGGAATGTGAGGATTAAATGAAGCAGCAGCTAGAACAATGCAAGGCACATGGCAAGTGCTCAACAAATATCAGTACCTGACACGTATTAGTTCTGTGACTTTAGACAAGTCAATATCTGTGATCCCCAATTTTTTCATCTGAAAAATGAAGATAACACTAATGTTCCTGATTCTATAAGAGGAAAAGTCTTTGTATGTACAAGCCTCATGCAAATCAAAAATCACCTACAAATGTAAGACATAACTAACTACATTATTAATACTCTTATCATCCTTTGCACCAATGGCATTAAATCTCTTTCTCACCAGAGACAGTGAGATTCGACTACCCACCACCTGCCAGCACCAGTGAAGCAGGTGCCCATGCTGAACATGCAGAGCAGGTATCCCTGCTCTCAGCCACAAGGAAAATCCAGAAACAACCAAGCATTAAAAGTTTGAATAATTTCCTATATCAGAATCCTAGAAGCCAGCAACCTGAGAATACCCCACCAGAGAGCTGTGAATCAAACCACTGCCCAGCATACTATGTGGAGTGGCTATTCCACAAAAACTACTGAATAAATAAGCCCTGGAATTGGAGTCTGAAGTCAAAGCCCCAAGTTTAAATCCTGGCTTTGTCATACAGAGCCGTGAGCACTAAGGTAGGCAACAACCTTCCCCAGCCTATATCCTCGTTCATAAAACAGACATAAGGAAACCCATCTCCTAGGAAATAGTGAGAATTAAATGAGGTACTGCAGGTAGAAAGACCTAGGATTCTACTGGATAATTAAACAAATGGTTTAAGTAAATAGAACCTCTGCCACCCAGATGCCCTTCCACCCTAGCCCTCTCAATCTCTGCAGAACCTTGAAAATGAGTGGCATACATCCAAAGAAACACTCCATCCAATGCTGATTCTGAAAAACTGCCAGCCCTTGGGAGAGAAAGATCTGGGCTCATTTTCCAAGGGTACCTGACAAGGCAACAATAATACATTTGCATTTCACAGCCTCTGCTTTTCCAAAACAAAGGAAGAGTATAGTGTGGATTTAACCCTGAAATCCCGGTGATCATGCCATCACATGGACGCTGCTCTGCAGGGATGTAGAAACCAGCCAGAGATGACACTTACCAGGTGCATGGGGGGGGGCAGAAAAGCTTCTGCTTCCACCTCTGCTCAGGTCTTGGCTGGCATGGTGTTTGAATGTGCCAGTGTGCAGCATCAATTGCAAAGAGCTAGGAGGTAGGACCTAGTCCCCCAAGTCAGCCTTTGCTCAATGAAGCCCCACCACTTCCCCTACTGTATGTTCTTGTCCTTTTCTTCTCGATCCCAAAGCAGAGCCCTTGGTCCCTATGTCCTAGGTTTAGCACTGGGAATGAAGCTTGCACCAACTGTGGCTTCCCCTCCTCTTACTGACCACCACTGTCTGCTAATCTGGGAAGTTACTATGGGAACTATATCACACAGCCCCCAGACAATTGCTTAGAAAACAAATTGTATGTTTGGCACCTGAAAAGGGAGAGAAAGACCCAAGCAAGCCTCAAGCCCAAAATTTCTCAAAGTCTGTTCACATTAAATCACCTGGAATGCTCATTAAAGGTACATAGTCCTTGACTCCCCCAAGAGGTATCAGATTAGGATTGGGACATAGCAAGGATCAAACTTTTTAGCCCCCTCACCTGGTGATTCTTATGCAAACTAGGTTTGAGACCCAGTTGGGAGCAAATGCAGAGGACTGTGAGAAAAGAATAAAAAGGCTTAAAAATACTTTACATCTGATGTCCCATCTTACCCTCATTCTTGTGAAACAGGGCACAAAATAGGGGAACCAAACAGGACAAAAGCCAATTTCCCAGTTTATGTATGTCCGAGAAAATTAAATCATGACCATGATGAAAATTCATACTTTAAAGAACTGCTCATGAAATCTACAGGCCCGGAAAAAAATTAACCAAAAATTAATCTTAGACCAACCAGATCCACTCCGAGAGATGAGAGAAGTGTGATAAGATCTTGGCTAAAGCCCCACTGTCCCAGCCTTACCCTTACCCAGTAATTCAGTTCTGCATTCCACAGCACGGTTGGATGTCTAAGTGGTGGTGGGGGGGTGTCCCCTAGCTCTAGCAAATATGGCTGGGGCAAGGTTATTGAGGGGGAAAAAAAAAAAGTAAGCTTCACTAACTTACGTCTACACGAGAAGGAAAAAAAAAAATCTAAGGATTACTGACCACACTGGGCACATATCAGACTCTCTAAAAATGTTGTATGAATTGAAGGAAATAGACACCTGATGGAATAATCCTTTCGTGAGATGCTAACAGCCTGCACGTACACAGTCATGAAAGAGGAAAAGGGAACAAAGAGGGAAATTGTCTCCACATCAAAAGTACTACATTAGCAAAAACCAGCAAGACCTAACAACCTCCTTGAAGGGGCAATACTTTCTCTCACTCAGTGACAGGCACGATTCGGGTGCTGAGCATTCCTGGGTCTCCACGTCACAGAGCAGGTCAAGTGGCTTGAAGGAAGAGCAAAATCGCTTTTCCACAGGAAGGCACTCTTTCCTGGTGACGGGCAGTGCGAACTGCCACTGGGATTTCAGAAACCACAACTCCTCACTCAGGGCAGGCGCCCACACAGGGCTTCGGCCCGCCCCGCCCCCCGAGGATGGACCTCGGCGCTGAGAATTCCAGTCAGCCCCGGTAAATTCTTCAGCAACAGTTCCCTGCCAGATGCTGAAACTGAACATTACGCCGCAAAACTAGCAAGTGGGCAGCTTTCACCACCACCCACTTCCATGACTGGCACGTGCAAAAGGAGTCGGGGCAAATTAGGCATTTAGGAAGTGACTCTGACACCTGGAGCCGGTTACCTGGGGCCTTAAAAAAAAAATGAATTCTTTTCTTCAGTTAGGAAGCAGGCATTCCCCTTTTAAAAGACCTTCCTGAAAGCACCTCTCCCATGGGAGCCTCGCAGGTAAATAACACCAGAGCTTCCTTAAACCAATGCTACAGAACCAGGTGTCCAGGCTGCGCTCAGTCGCCGGCTTCTCCTCCGCAGGAGGGACCCGGGAAGTAACTCAATCCAGCCCCACGCGGTGAGGATGGGGGAGTCTGCAGGTTATGGGGGGGAACAAAACCGCTCAAACTTTGCAGTTGCTCTTTAGCAGTTCTGGGCAGGAGCTCGCAGAATTATCTGCTGAGAAGGGAGAGTCACCCTCCCTGACAGAAAGGCCCCCACGTCGGCCTAACCCACCAGCTCTGGGTCCGGGACGGCTGCGCATCCCGTCCGCTGGGACGTGCCCCTTCCCGGGTGGTACCCTCCCCAGGGGCCCCTCACCTTGGCCTCAAAGCAGATGCCATGCTGGAAGGCGTCCTCGTTGTGCAAGGGGATCCGCAGGTCGTGTCCGTCGTCCACAAGGTTGTACTTGGTCTTGCTGGGCATGGTGACCCGCAGTGGACCTGCTCCTCCCGAGGCGGCGGCGGCTGCAGGAAGGGGCTGGCGAGACGCGGGGGACAGGAGACGCGAGCTGGGCGCGGCGACGCGTGGCGGGGGCTGGGGGCGCGGTGCAGGGGGCGCGCTGGCCGCTCGGCGGCAAGGCGGCGGCGGGCGCGGACCGGAGCGGTGCGGAGGGCCGAGCGGCGGCGGGCGGCGCGAATCGCGGCGACGCGAGCGGCGCTGTGGCCGCGCAATTCCTGCCGGCGAGGCGGGCGGCGGCGAGGTGGCGGCGGATCGGGCGGCGCGGCGCCCCGGCTCGGGGAGCGGAGCGGTGGGCGCGCGGCCCGCAGCGGGACTGGGCGCGGCGCCGGCCCCAGAGCAGTGCGGTGGACGGCCCGGGACGAGGAAGAAAAGGCGGCGGCGGCGGCGGAGCGGGGTGCCTGTCACGGAGACGCCGGATCAGCCGCCAGCGAGCCGCTCCTCCTGCGGGGCGGGCCCGGGCCGGCTCCTCCCGCCGCGCGCCAGCCGCGCCGCCTCCGGGTCGCCCCGCGCGCCCGCGCGCGCGCCCAGCAGGTGAATGTCCCCGGGGCGCCGCGCCCGCCCGCCCGCGCTCCGGCCGCACGACCCCGGGAACTTCGCCCCGGCCCCGACGGCGGGACCCAGGAAGCCAGGCTCAGTCCAGTTTTCTCTGTGCGGTCAGAGCGTGAGCTGGCGTTGCTGGTAGCCCAGCAGCGCCCTGGAGTTTTTGTTTTTGTTTTTGTTTTTTGGAGAGGGGGAGGGGCGGTGTTTATTGTTTTGTTTTTTTGTTTTACCTGGAAGGCCCAAGTCCCGTCCCAGATATCCTAAATCTGGGCCTCATTATTTCTGAGCCCCCTTTCTCAGGAGGCCAGACTGTGCCCAAATGGGGAACTGTCTCAGGCGCTGTTTTTGTTCCTTTGAGCAGTGATTTGTGACTTGTGATAGGGGTTGAGTGGTGCTTTAGGGGAATATTTAAAAGCCTTGTGGAAATGCGGTAGGCAGAAAAGGAGTACTGAAGACAAGAGAATCAGGAACATTTTTATGCTCTTTAACAACCGTCTACAACTGAGTATGCACTAAATGAGCTTCCAAGTTATTTCCGGCTCATAGTATATTATTGTTCCTATTGTATTAATAGTAAATGCTTGAGTTCAACTTGCCTATTGTTAAGAATGGGGCCTGTTCACTTTTCTCTTTTACATCAAGAGTTTTTGAGACAAGTTGCCTAATTATTTCCGACTTGGAAGAGATCGGATTAATGGAAGGGTTGTAACCTATGTGTTCAGTTTCTTAACAGTACAAAATGTGCAAATGAAGAAGCCGTAAGAGGAGTTAGTGACTGCTTATTCATTATCTGTTAAACACCATAGGTGTTTAACATGATACATGAGATACATGATAGCTGTGATTTACATGGCTTAAGATTACTCCAGAATCTCCAAAAGTAACCCATCAGGCCAGTGCCAAAGCCAGTGGAACCTGAGATCGCTTAGACCAAATGGGCAGCTCCTCTGTTGAATTCATCACTTTAAACCTGCTTCTAGTGCCTTGCTTTTAGTGCATGAGTCAGGCATACCTAGATCGCCATGAAAAGCATCTTACAGCAAATGAGAGACATGTTAAATTAAGGGGCTGTGTTCCACCCAATGCAACTCACAGACCAAACATAATTGATTGCTTGTTATACAAGCAAGGTGTGGAATCACCAAGAAACATCACAATGAAACTGCTTGTAAAAGACATGTCTTCCTACACCATTTCTATAATGTATTTCTTTATATAAGAGAATACATTATTGCTGTAGTTATATTTCTCATTTTGTCCCATGGTATAATTGCCCTTTCCTAGATATTGCCTACTCCCTATCTACTCAAATTACTGGTCAAGATTTAGCATCTTCTGGGGTATTTCCTTAAATAAAAGCAAACTGATGACTGGGACAAATTAATCACATACATTATGCTGTATAGACTTTATTATATTCATAAATATTAGTAAGAACCCAAAAGAATTTGCACTGAGGAAATGCACCACTAACCTTTTTATAAATACAGGACATGAAAGTCTAATCAGGCATGTTTGACTCTTTGAATGTCAAAGTGGTTTTAATATGCATCATAAATGTACTCCTCTAAAACCTGGCACAGTAACTCAACAACTTAAAGGCAAGACCTTAAGTAACTACTTCATTTACTTCTCATAGTCTCCCCTGATTTTAAAATGTCCTCTGACTCCAAAGAGCCTTTTTTCTAAATTAACTTGGGTCTCACTGGACTGATGAATTTACCAGAATTTCATATCTGGAGTCCGTAACACATTGTAGACAAGACACAAACAGGCTGAAACCCCAAAGGTATTTCAGGGTCTAGTAGAGAGACTATTACATAGTAGCCATTCAATAATGATTTATGGAACTGGATAATAACAGCTAATACTCATTTGCTTTCTCTGTGTATCAGGCATTGTTCTTAGAGTCTTACATGTATTATCGTATTTAATATTCACAACAACCTTAAGGTTAGCCCCATTTTACAAAGAAACTGAGGCACAGAGGGGTTTACACAACTTGCCTAAGATCACACCTTTAGAAAGAAAGGCAAGGAGCCAGAATTTGAATCCGGCTCAATTTCTTTGTCAAGGTGTGAGTCAGGCATACCTAGATAGCCATGAAAAGCATCTTCTTATTGCAAATGAGACACAGGTCAAATTCAGGGGCTGTGTTCTATTTAGGTATGTATTGTACCTAAACAATATTCATTCCATTTCAGTTAGATAAAACGTTCCAAAAAGGAGAGGCTTGTTCTCTGCTTTGGCCTCCACCTAATCTAACAACATCAGTGCCACACAGGCATGGAAACACCCTTCTTCCAGAAACAATAGGCATCCAAAGTAATTTCCCTTTTTTAAGCAGGAATTTCAATCTTGTTTTTACACCTTTATTTTTTTTATTTATTTATGTTTTAGACAGAGTCTCACTCTGTTGCCCACCCTACAGTGCCATGGCGTCAGCCTAGCTCACAGCAACCTCAAACTCCTGGGCTCAAGTAATCCTTCTGCCTCAGCCTCCCGAGTAGCTGAGACTACAGGCATGCGCCACCATGCCCGGCTAATTTTTCCTATATATTTTTAGTTGGCCAATTAATTTCTTTCTATTTTTTTTAGTAGAGACAGGGTCTCACTCTTGCTTAGGCTGGTCTGGAACTCCTGACCTTGAGCGATCCTCTGGCCTCGGCTTCCCAGAGTGCTAGGATTATAGGCGTGAACCACCACACCCAGCCTATGCCTTTAAATATAACTGAATTTCACCCATAGCATTTCCAAATCCATGTAAAAAAAATCAAGTTTTATTTCTTATAGTGAATAACAGGTACATGTATTACTTTCCATACCCTCCTGTATTTTAAACATTGCATAATAAAAATTTTAATCTGAAGTACATTTAATTAAAATATGAATTGTCAATCATATAATACTTCCTGTGTTAACTTTGTTTAAAAGTTAATCATAAAAAAAAAAAATCCTACATCACAGAACTTTAGAACTGGAAGTTACTTCAGAGATCATCTTATCCAGTTCCTTCATTATAAAGAAAAAGAACTGGAAATCCGGAGAGATAAAGTAATTTGCCTAGTCTCAATTATGGACTAGAGCACCTAAATTGTTAATCTTTCTACCACACGATGATGGGTTATGAATGAGTTGACAGCAAACTTTACTTTTAGCACAGACTTGGAGAATTTTAATTAATTTGAGAAATTAATTTTCTTTTGATCATAAATACCTGCTTTGCCATCCTAAGCATTCCACATACATTATCTCGCTTGACCGTATAAGGTAGGTACTATCAATATTCCCCATTTTATAGATGAGGAAACTGAGGCTAAGGGAGGGAAGTAATTTGTGTAGGTCATAAAGCAATAAATCCTAGGAATGCTAGCATGAATACAGCCATCAAAGAATGAAAAGTATGTCAGCTTAATACTGCTCAGATATACAGATGGATGTAAGTCACAAAATCTTTGTATAAATAATAATATTAAATATTAACACACAATGATTTCTTTTTTTATTTTTTTTTAATTGAGACAGTATCTCTCTGTTGCCTGGGCTAGAGTGCCGTGGTGTCAGCCTAGCTCACGGCAACCTCAAACTCCTCAGTTCAAGCAATCCTTCTGCCTCAGCCACCTGAGTAGCTGAGACTACAGGCACACACCACCATGCTAATTTTTTGTATTTTTAGTAGACACAGGGTCTCACTCTTGCTCAGGTTGGTCTCGAACTCCTGAGCTCAAGCAATCCTCTGGCCTCGGCTTCCCAGAGTGCTAGGATTACAGGGGTTAGCCACTGCGCCAGCCCACATACAATGATTTCTGACCATTACGTATCACTTAGCTTCAAGAAGCTCAAATTATTTTCATGGTACCATGTTTACCTGACAGTGTTTCTCTGGAACATAGAGAGTTGGAAATCATTAACCCATTTTAAAAGGTGGCAAAAAAAAGATATCAAGTAATTTCTTTTTATGAAAAATTAGCATCTTTCATGACTGAGCTCTACTCCAAGTTTGGTTTATTATGATCTTTTACTGCATGAGCAATAAAGTAACAATTTGGGGTGTTTGCCCCACAAGAAAGATTATTC